GAAGCTTGTTATCATTGCTCATTTTAAGTACATTTAGTTAACATATAATAGTAGGTTTTATGCAAACAACAAGCAGGTATCAAACACAGAAAGAACCACGTGAATATTGTTTTGTCGTTAGCCTAGTAGCTAATCGTTCAGAGTTTAAACCGTTATTACTGTAATCTATTTTCGTTTAGCTTCAGCTGTAACTTTCTTACAAAGCTATTCAGTTAAAATATATTGGCATAGTGGTCAGTGTGCCTAGTCTGTGAATCCGAGGGTTCCTGGTGTATGACTTGTTGCCTATTTGATCACAAGAGGGTCTTTAGAATACTCGTCATTTTAAAATTAGTTTAGCACATTTAAATTTAACTTTGAAGACTATTGCATGTTAAATCTGATGTCACACTCACTGACGATATCGCATTTTTACGTAGGTAATATTGGACGTCTTAACAATGTTACTAAGGTTAATACAAATAGCATAATACATGTTTATTAAGCGCTGCTTGTCCACGTGTCTTGAGTCAATCTTCGTTGATTTTTCTAGAGCTAGAACCACGTACGAGGTTTGTAACGGAAGTTGCATAATATCCTGTTAAAAGTTGGTTTGTGCAGTCTTTCGTTTGATGCTACAGGAAATAGTAACCCCTAATTGTTTCGCAACACGTACTTATTCTTAATATGAAATGTTTTGCTGATTAGAGACGAACTAGAACTTTAAGTTCTCTCGTAGAGTTTGTTTAATGTTTATTACTGAATGCTATTAAACATTTCATGTTTTATTCGGAAATGTGGCATGGAATTCATGCTGTGTTATTTGAACCATTTCCGCATGAAAGTCGGTGTGGGTGAGTTTACACACTTTCATTGCTTAAACACAAAAATATTTCCAGAATATTTCTACATGTTAATATCGGTGTGTGACAAAAATTACCATGGCAACAGATAAAAACAAAGATTTGTGGTGTTCGATCATGGGTGTAACATGGAAATGTTTAGCGAATGACAGAAATGAAACTAAACTGCAGTTTGCTGTTACTTAAATATTAAGTTTTGTTTCCATTTCACATGATAGATCTCTTCAATGCTATGGCTGTGTATGATTATTCATTTTAACACAAGATAACACCAATCTTAGTATAAATACTT